TAGTACAATGAGGCTATCTGGGGGATTCTGGCTAAGAATAAGAATTAAGAGGTGTCAAGTCATTGGTTCAACGAGGGCAGAAAGGAGGGGGATAGTGGTGAAAACCATGGAAGGGATCTTATTTTATATGGTCTTGAATAAAGCTTGCCACGTTTATAAAGTGTTCCTTCTTTTGTAATGGTGAGAGGTCGTTTCTTCCATATTTCAAAAAATGCATTACAAGGGTCGTTCGAAAAGTTTTGCACGTATGCTTCTCAAGAAAAGAGATTTTATCATTTTTACATGTAATTTCGTACAGATATAATCACCTATTTTACATTCATATCTGAAATTTTAGGACCATACACAATGTACTTCTTGAGATACATTGACTTTAAAATGTGAACCAATGGTCTCATGGTCCATATGACGTCATTAAATTGAATTAATTTTATGAATGCCTTGAAAGGCTGAAATTGTTTGGTCAATCTTTGAGCAGTTTGTCAGGTTATGTTATAATTGATTTATAATCAATCAAAATATTTCTTATGTAGTCTTCCGTTGCAGGAATGCATTACTTGTAGCGTTCTGTCCACCAGTGTTTGAAGCCATGTCCGAACCCTCCTACCTATAGGATGTCAAGTCTTCTGATAACTACAGCTACCTTTAATACATTTTCCCTTCTCTTATTCCATCTTAGAATACTTAACAATGCCTATAGGAGTCATTGTATGCAATGTCTTAATGCATGAATGATTTTAACTTGTGTAATTCTGTTTTCTCATTCTTTAACATGTATTCTATCAATGTTTTCTGCCTCAACTTTATTATTTTCAGCCATATTCTCCAATATTTCAAAAATTGATATGAGAACTTTGATAACGTCCTAAAATTAGGTGATTTGTTCAAGAATATGTTTACGGTCTTTCTTTGGCATTTCCAAAGAAAATAAGATGAGAAGTATTGATATAAGATTCATTTTTGCCACGGGAACAATACTAGATATTGCTTAAATTTAAGTTGACAGTTTATGTGAGTAAATTTGGCTATGTTTAGTGATATTTTGCTTTATATATCACTTGATTTCTCTTTAAAAATGATATGTACCGTGCCACCATCAACTTGGTTACCATAGCAACCATAAAATGTTTTAGTAATAATCATACATACATGAAAACTTGACAGTGTAAAGGAATACGATGGGGGCACAAACTTACAAATTATGAACAAGATGGATGTGTAAAACTTTTTGAACAATCCTTGTACATCAGGAGTATTTTCATGTTATGCGAATAACTATTTGAAACACCATGTACTCATTCAATGAAAGATATATTAGAATTTCTACCAATTTTAAAAGCGTTTGGGTGACCATTCAAGAGTTTTAAAGTCACAAATAATAACAATTTGAATTTTCTGATACACAAATCTAGAAAACAATACCAAAAAAGTGATCTGCCCTTTTCCTTCAACTTGAGGATTATATAGCCATACTTCGAAAAAATCAGAAAATTATTGCGATTCCACATTAGGCGACGGCCATTTTGAATTTTACGAGACCCAAATTACAAAACCGATACAATATTTGAAATCTACTCTAAATTGACTAAGTCTTTCATTTGAGTATAATAAAGCTATACTTTAGAAAGATCTCAAAGTTAACGTAAATTCCTGTTGGCAGCCATTTTGAATTTCCCGAGGCACAAATCAGAAAGACAATACCATAGTAATGATCTACCCTAAACTTCCTTCAATTTGAGTATAATATAGCCATACTTTAAAGGGATTAGAAAAGTATTGCAAAATCTCACATAAGGCGGCCATTTTGAATTTTACGAGGCCCAAATTACAAAACCGATACAATATTTGCAATCTACACTAAATTGCCTTTCATTTGAGTGTTATAAAGCTATACTTTAGACGTAAATTCCTGTTGCAATTGGCAGCCATTTTGAATTTCCTGAGGCACAAATCAGAAAGACAATACCATAGTAATGATCTACCCTAAACTTCCTTCAATTTGAGTATAATATAGCCATACTTTAAAGGGATCAGAAAAGTATTGCAAAATCTCACATAAGGCGGCCATTTTGAATTTTACGAGGCCCAAATTACAAAATCGATACAATATTTGCGATCTACTCTAAATTGCCTCTCATTTGAATATAATAAAGCTATACTTTAGAAAGATCTCAAAATTAACGCAAAGTATTCCCAACCCCTCATACATGGCCCCTGGGAGTCATAGTGAAAAACTCAGAATATATATAGAATAGATAGATGTTGTGAATATACTACCAAAATTTCTAACAATACTATTTATTACTTCGGTTTAAATGAAAAGATTTTCACGAAAAATCCCCGCCATTTTGAAAGTATACATGTCATGTCATGATATAGGGAGAAAATCAATAAACTCAATGCCTGTGTTACACGTGCTAACTGCATATTGAATGCTCTTACTATGCTAGAATATTTTCTGTCCCTATATCTTGACACTGTTATTTGAAAGCGGACGGATGGACTGACTGACGGACTGGCGGATGGCTTCACTATATCCCTACCGAACATCGTTCATTGGGATAATTAGCGAAAGCCAAATTGCAAAAAGAGAAAAGTAACCAAAGTAACCATATTCTTTAAACGAAGAAATCTGATTTTTCAATACCTTTCATTCTTTGACATCTTCTGTGAAATTTTCAGATAAAAAGTCAAGATTTTTTTCACTTTCAAGGCTTTTTCTCAGAACTAATTGGTCGACCTTTGTACAAGTTCATGCTCATTTCCAATATTAGACATACGTGTAAGTCAAGACGTAACTTAACATTTTAGTACTATGACTACAGCATAACCTGTGAAAGTGGAGCATTCCTCTGAAGTGTTTCACTTAATAGGTTCAATTAACAATTACGTCAATTGGTCCACTACGGAGGTGATGCACGTACATGTACAGAGGCGCTCCACTTTACTGGTTTCTGATAGATATATTCAAAAACAAATTCATCGATTGTTCTTCAAAACAATTGTTTTATATTTCTTGATTAATAATTTCTGGATATTGTACATTATTATTGGTCAGTATTACGACCACAATAGCAGAGAGTTTCGCATGTAACGATTCTAGCTCAACGCATCTGAAATCCGCAACGCATTCACCTGAGCGATTTATGCGTAGCAGTCCAATGAAAACAAGAAAACGAGATGCGGTTGTGCAAAATCTCCAGTATCTTTCAAAATGGAAGACTTTATATTGATGTACGTAATGGATTATTTGTTTTCATATACTTTTCTCTCGGCTGTATTTTTATAGCACATCAATCGCATATAACATAAACTCCATAAACTGACAAACAAAAGCGTCAACTACTACCGATTAGTCATTTATAGAAAAAAGTTCATTCTATACATATGCTTGAATCTCATTATATACATGTCGCCTGCCATTTTGAAATAAATTTATTACTGCCAACATTGTATTCTGATAAGTTTGATGACCAGTTAGCGGTTACCTTAACCTTGCATAGTAGTCCATGGTATGACTCTGGGATGTGAAGAATCCGTAGTGCACCATACCGAAGCAACATTTGAATCAATAGTTCAGGCATGTACTGACTTTTTCAAATACAACTTGCCAAAAACCTCCGACTTCCGGGTCGAAATATGTCTATCATCACAAGGGGTCAAAAAAATCCATGTAAGTTGTAGGACACAAATCTTGAATCTGAGCATAAATACAATAAACATAGGATCATCGCCATGTGTTGATTATATTCATTTGATAATAAAAACCTTCAAACCTAAAAAATCGTAATGTAAACAATACTCAGAATTTTACTTTATATGTCAGCGTTTAATCAGTGTAGTTACATAACTATTGTGCTTTTTTAGCTTTTGTTTATTTTTCTAATACGGCTTGAGCGGATCAGACAAAATCGTGAGAAAAAATTAGGCAAATCATAAATCGCAAACATATTTGTGTCTTTACTATTCAAAACATTTTATTATCTGGACTTATACCTGTCATTGTCAAGGGTTATATAACAAATTGTCGTTTATGTTTCTTAAAACATAAAACAATGACAAATTTAAGTCTAATCAAATGTTACAGAGGTTTGGAATGTTCATATATTCCAGGTGCGTGTCTAATCATATATTCACACATAGCTAGGCAATGTGTGTCCGATTCCAGCCAATCCGAACAGAGTACTCACATAATGAACAGTGTGTGAAATATCAATAACGCATTTGTTATGTACAGTTGCCAAGCGATTGAGATTGAAATTGAGTTTTCCAATACTGTTCTTTTAGTGATTTTGTATCTTTGAGGGGATTTTATAGAAAATATTTTGCAATGTGTGAAAAGAATTTAAGCCCAAGACCCGATGCTTTGTGGCTGCTTCATTCCACTCGGATGTTGTTTCCTAAACGTTGCATTCCCCCTGTGGGGTCATGCAAAGATTTGGAAACAACATCTTCGTGGAATGGTTCAGCACACACTGAGTCCAAGGCTTAAATCATTAAATATACATTTTCCCGACGTTACTGCTGGCTATCATCATATTTTCTCATGACTATTTCTTCTTTGATATTGCTACTAGTTATCATCACATTTTTGAAAATGATGACTCACTTTTTGAAAAATTCATGAATTCGACCAAGTCTTGGTGTTTGTTTAATAAACAATTGGGTAATATCTACCTCCGGGCAAAATCATTTTAGCCGTATAGCGAAAAGATCAATATGTTCTTCTTCATTGATAATTGACACCTTGGGACGCATTAAGATACATTTTGTGGAAAGCAAACATAATTCTAATACAAATAAAATTAATTCATTCAAGCTAGTAGCATAGAAACCTAAAACATATATTTTGATTTCATTACATTTTAATTATCTATAGCATTGTGTATTCCGATTTGTAAAAGCATGGAATTGTTTGACCCCTGCTAATGACATGCATAATTCAGCCTTCAAGCCGGATGGCTATAATAAGGATTGATACGGGACATATGTACATGTAGATGTATATGTTAGGTTAAATATTGCTGCGCTATTATAGTGTGCTACCAGCTCCTTTATTAGACTCCTAGAAATCCCGTACCATTGACTTAGATTTGCGCGTACAACTAACATAATATAATTTTTGTGTAAACTGTATTGTAGACAAAAATGGATATTCGTGTTAACATATTGGTACAATAACATGAATATAAAAAACAAACATTTCAGATGCATATCATAAGATTCAAGAAACTTTTGATTGTTGATCTCCCATATCTTGTGTTTGATACGATATTGCGATCGTGTTCAGATGACTCGAATAAAGAGGGAGATGCTCCTACACCGAAGATGTTCTAATTACGAAGATGGGCGAAGATGTCTCAAGGAACCAATCAAATTCCTTGAAAAATTAGGATCAGATCTTCGGCTATCTTGAGGTCCAAAGTCGTCACCCCCCCCCCCCCCTCCCCCCTAAAAAGCTACTTTGTTTACTTTGAAAAAACGCTAAACAACTTTATCATCGGAGAGAGGACGGTCATGAGTTACTTGTCCACGAAATGCTATCGCAATATTTTTTATCTAATAAACATTTACTTAATGCAATTAGAAAATACACGCTTATCTAGGATATAACATTTTCATGATTGGGAGCACCACCTCTATCCACCTTCTGTAAACTCTAAAAATTGACGATAAGCGGCATTAATGGCATTTGGATGCATATAGATATCATAATTGTGTTGCAACTTTGATACATTCAGAACGACCCAAGGAGCCAATGACATCTTTGTAGTTCTGTCCTAGGACCCAGTGTTTCTCTCAACATATTTCTTTGAAGTTTGAGTAGGTCTCAAATTGATTCATGTAATCCTGGATGAGGTAATGACACATTGTGTACTGCTCCTAGAATTAAACATAACGTATGCAATTATGATTGAGGAAGGATAATTAGAAAATGTGTCTCTTTTGAACTATGTTAACATGGCATTTTTGTGTCAATATCCTTGGTTTTAATTCTTGAGAGGAACGGTAATCATGGGAGCATTTTACATGGGGTTTTGTAAATGGTCTTGTAAATGCATGCAATAAGGTAATTACCCCAGATTTGATGAACTGAGGTCGGTTCTTTCTGATTTTCTTCACAATGCTGAATATATCTATTTGTTGCTCCACCTGCAGACGCTCTATTCCTATAGCAGTGGCACAGTACACTCCACATCGCTCTGCACCATCACTGGAGATAAAACGATATATACGATCATTGGTACAGTAAACTAACAAAGGATCTATCCCTACATAATGATGGAATAGACAAACCCCACCGGTATAAATATATCTTGTGCACTCCCCATCTCGATGTACATCACTGAAGATAAAACAAGTCCAAATCTACCTATTGGTTTGTGCTTTTGGAGATAATGGGGTTATTTCACATTGTTTCTTAGTTGGTTTGAGTTCATGTTTGATTAATGTTTGGGATTGCAATTGCGAGTATTCCCTTCGTGTTTTGTTGAATTCCCGTTAGTCCATTTGTCATTTTCTGAACGTATGAATATTTAAAAGTATGATGTTTTTCTATAAATACTACCATTAGGGATTATTGGAGTGATTTAGCTCGGTTGCCAAAAAATAACTTTGGGGAAAAATTTTGTATCTATTCCCATGGTAACATACTAGGTATATGGTGGTATCCTAACGCTAATGGCCTAGTCACATAGCCCGGCCGATGTCCGGCATCGGTAGAGCTCGGTGGATTTTTTGGTGCCACCGAGCTCTCCTCATCGGAAGCAGAGCTCGGTGACGTGAACGGACTCCGTCCGGACATCTTCAGGCGACCGACCGAACACCGGCCGGTGACCGTACGGAGTCTGTCTCAAAATGGTAGTTTTTTTCTGCCGATGTGGCAGCAACTACCGGCCGGAGGTCGGCCGGACATCGGAAGGAATACGGCCGGTACCCGAGCAGGTAACAGGACACCGTGCGATCGCCGGCCGGGTTGTTAACGGGCTTTGAACAGTGACCGGCCGATGCTCTGTCCCACATCGGCCGGAGCTCGGCCGCTGTCCGTTAAAAAACCTCGTCCTCTGGTTGTCTCAGATGCACGGGACACCGGCCGATACTCGGCCGTGCACCGGCCGACGTGTTTTCCGATGTGGTTACGATGGGGCTGCGATGACATGATGAGGGAGCTCGGTGAGAGCCCGGTGAAATTTAACTCCGAAGTTAAAATTTCACCGAGCTACCACCGATGCGGTTTTAAGCAACAAACGTCACGGATGTCCGGCCGGTGTCCGGCCGGTGTTCGGCCGAGTTCGGTGAAAATTGCATCGCTGGCTCATCGTAACCTCATCGGCCGGGCTATGTGACTAGGCCATAAGTCAATAGTCAACGCCATGTTCAGCGATTGCACCCCTCTACATTAGGATTGGGCCTCTACATTTGGATTGGGTCTATACATTTGGATTGGGCCTCTACATTTGGATTGGGTCTATACATTTGGATTGGGCCTCTACATTTGGATTGGGCCTCTACATTAGGATTGGGCCTCTACATTTGGATAAGGTCTATACATTTGGATTGGCCATCTTGAAAATGCATCGATGTATTATTTGAGAATGTTAGATTATGATCTTATTTTTACGACACTGGAATAGATCAATAATCGACTTTTGAATATTTCAGATATTTATATCATAAAATGTTCTCTTTCGAGGCTTTCTCATACGATAGCTGGCAATATGTAAAATAGGACACCTACATGCATTGTACTATTACTGGGGATTTTCCATGCCCAATTCTGAAATTGTTCATTGCTGTTATCATGGATATCACAGACTTCATTTTCGCCTCATCTTTTGTGAACCTCGGCCAACGTGATATGTGTAATTGAACAATTTCCCTTTCTGAAGAGGCCTACAATAAAAAGCTGAATTTGAAAGGAAGTTTATTCTCCATTGTTATAGAACTGAATGATAGGTAGGAAGATTTGTGTTTTATTGTTCATTGTCTTCATTTTCGATTCACTTTAAGAAACAGTTAGCTTGAAATAATAATCTAGCTTATGTTCTGACTTGCCTCATATTTAGATATTATAACTAATCAGCTAAAATATTTGATTGGGTAAATCTGACTGAATGTTGATTGGTTCAATTAATTGTTCAATAGAATATAAAACATATGTCATGGAAGAATGTTTGACCTTTCCTCTTGCTCTAAGAGTAAGCCTTCGTTCCACGTATCCACTCATTTCATTCTCCTGTTGCACAGTTACTTCAAACATTCCGAAACTATTAGATTCATTGTCCCAGTATGCAGGGGAATCCTAAAAAACAAATCAATTTAGGATTATATATTTTTACTTTTCGTATAGTTATTTTTTCTTATTTACAGGTTTGTATATTTTCCCTGTACATTACGTAGAATATATTTATGAGGGTAGGTTACGACGAACGGATGACTGATACGTACATAACGAATCTTTAGTACAATAACCGGGTACAAAAGCCACTGGGAGAATCATCTTACCAAATCATTAAAAACGTTTTCCTCATCTAAGGTGACAATGCAAGAGCTTCCTGTGTCGTAAACAAGACTCCAGAACTCTTCTAGCGTATCTGGTAGTGGTCGTTGTGTCACTATAAATCCATCCTTGTTCTTATAGCCCTATAGAGTGAATTACAAATAATTTGCATAATTGGTGTCATCGAAATGCATTAGTCATTGAAAATGTGAATTATATTGTGACTATCTTTGTTAATTAATGGAAATAATATGGAAATTATGTAACAGACCATGGCATAGATTTTTCCAGTTCACCAACGTTGTATCTTCCTTATTAAATTACATTTTACCATTTTCAATGTTATTAATCACTTCCCTAGCTATCGTGTTTTTGTAAAAGAATACATTATCATTATTTAATGAAATGCATTAGATTCGAATAAAAAACTAAAATGAAGTCTAATCTTTTATCAGAATCGTATGACGTTTAGCAATTTTACAACATCGATTCTTACTGTTACCAGAGGGTTGAATGTTAAATATCTAAAAGTATCACTGTTTTATTATAAAGGATGCGATCAAGGGAACACTTACATTCAAGTACAATGCATTTATATAATCTGTTTTGCCTGACTGATGCACGGAGATTATAAAGGGACGACTTTTGCCAGCTGAAAATTGCATTTCAATATTAGACAGACTCTTGCAACTTAATATATAAAAGTAAAATCCAGTGCCATTTATGATGTTCTATTTTTGTAATGATCTATTCAACAAATTTATTAGTGCTGCCTACTGTATTGGGGTATTCATTTTAAACTATTGCTGTTTTCAATCAGCTAATTTGAATTGTTACTCGTATCTTGTAAACTATAGCCCCGGGACTACAGCACGACTTACGTGGAAGAATATCAGGATTCCTGTTTTTCTTTGCATTTGCAGGTTCACGTGCAGCTTTCGTATCAGTCAGGTTCAGTGATGGCTTCAAAGTTTCCAGCATCTGGTAGCAAAGAGGCCGAATATTGACACATTTTACACAAACCATAAACCTCGAAATTTAGTTGTTAGTATACATGATATAAAAATCTTTTTAAACGTATATTTGGTAATTGTATTTTGTCGGATAAATCAAAATGTATCCAGAGAATTTGAAATACTGATATGGCACGTTGCATGATGGCATGAACTCAACGAGAATTTAGGACAAATGGAGCTTTTTAGAGATAGATCAATACCAAGACCTGGGTAGAGATGAGCATGCTGATCATAGCAAATTACAAGAATGACCTTCTTACCTGGTAGAGCTCTTGAATCCTGGTCTCCCCTTGTGGGGGGATGACCTTTGTCAGTTCAAGCATCTTTTTGTTGAAGTCAGTTGCATCTATGCACGTATCATTGAGTACTAATGCTTCAAGAATAGCATCATGGAGGAAAATAAACTGTTCCTGAAAAAATATTAGTACCACGATGTTCACGTGCATTCACTGGATTTATCGTTTTATCTGGACCTGAAGTACATTATTACGTGTACAAATTGCTTGAAGTAGTAAGTAACATAAATCTTAAAATGAATGATGTGTAAAACCAATTCTTACTGGTGTTTGAATCATAAATGGTCGCTGTGTTCTTAGCTTATGAACACATGAATTTACATCCACCTCGCCCTCTGTTTGGGCCTGCTTCAACAGCATGTCAATTGCAATCAGTGTACCCGTTCTTCCAACGCCAGCGCTGAATGTATATGTATATAAACTTATGGATGAAATATTCAAATATAAGTGTGGTAAGAGGGTTTCTTAATTATTTGTTAATCAAATCAAAAGAATATTTTTCGATCGCTTAATCAACCATCAAGTTCTTGAGCTAGATATTCGGGACTCAGAGAGTTGGGGCAAGCCAGAAATCTTGAGGTATATATAAAACCCAATTTTTTGAAAATCAGAAAGCAATGTTAACACTTCAAGTATGTATTTTGAAATAACTTTTTTGATTGTATATATATTTGCAGAAACCGTTCCATTTACCTGCAATGTACAAGTAAAGGACTGCCTGTGGAATGGTTGCTCATCTTAACCTTCTTTAGGAATGCTAGAAGTCCATAAGCGTCTTCGGGAGCCCCGTGGTCGGGCCATGACGTAAAATGGAACAATTTGATTGTCCTCTTTTCGTCCTGGAAGTACAGTAGGGTTCAAGGACTGTAAAAATTAAAGGAACACGTGGAAATATGACATAACAATACCTGACTTTATAAAAGTGTGTGTTAATGTACGGTGCATTGATTCAGAATGGTAAGGCAAATAGGAGCAGTAATGTACCGTTCGAATAATTTTAACTTAGTGGAGAAATTGAAATACGTGACGTACTGTACGTTATAGTGAAAATGAATAAATAAAAGGGACTTGATAATAACTATATAATATATTGTAAGTGAATATTTATTCCTTTAATACTATTAACATGCATGTCAGTGAACACATTAAACTAAGTGTAACATAGTAAAAAGTAAATAGATTTTTAATTTAAAGTGGTGTACCGCTCTTTCAACCAGAATTTTGTATATCACATAATCAAGGTAGTTATTGTCCGTTTGGATGTTGGTCACTTCGATGTTTCCAAATGTCTGCTTCTCTCCCTCATTCTTTGGCCAGTAGGCGTAACACTTTGGCTATAATTATAAGAAATCCAAATGTTGAAAAAACACAAGCAAGAATATGAGAAAAAACATTTAAAATGATCCACCATGAACATATTGGATATAAAGAAGTAAAATGCAATGATCCAAACTGGTTTTAAATTAATAATATAATACTATTTGATACAATTAAATGAATACCTTGGAATTTTCTTGAAGATTGGTCAACATAGCTATGTTGGATACATTTTCCTGACAAATCATTCTCCAATAATCACCAGCGGTCTGTTCAATCGGTCCTACAAAGATTAAGTCAAAGAATCATGCATTTTCAATGTGGCAAATTTATAATACAGTTATTGCATGGATGTAATCACTGTTACACGCGAAATCATTCAAAATCAATATTTATGACTGCCTCAAAATACGTTGAGTAATCATAAACAAGGCATTAACGTGACAAAATGTCCTAGTTTCACACAGTATTAGAGTGATCAAAAGTTAAATGTAAGCACAAGTCTCATAATATGGTTCTATGTACCAGATTTAACTAAAAGTTAAACATTATAAAACATGTCAAATTGATGATCACTGTAGGAGTCATGTTTCATGTCAATATAGATGATTTTAAAAAGACAAATTGGTCAATTTTGGGCAATTGAAAAACACCTTTTTGAGCTTTTACCTTAAGAAGGTCAAATCTCAAATCTAAAGTCAGATCTGAAGTCTCGATATTCTGTATTGGATCTTGACTTCGTCTCGTTCCAATACAAAATTTCTCGAACAGAATATATCCTGTATTGCACTTCAAATCATTCAATCACTTATTATCGTATGATCTGTAAAATGAAGCCCTCTGATTGGTCAGATCCTGTGCTGTACCAGCCTGTATTGCTACTGAGATTGTCCCCGTTGATCATCTCCGTCGCAATACAGAAAATATTCGTACGGAGGGGACAATCTCAGTAGAAATACAGAGGATCACACGATGAAAACGTTATTGAATGATTTGAAGTGCAATGCAGGATATATTCTGTCTCGTTATTCTGTATTGGCACTCGACGTCGTCTCCTTCCATTACGGAATTCTCGAGCAGAATATATCCTGTATTGCACTTCAAATCATTCAATAACTTGTAGTATTGCTCCTGAGAGTGTCCCCATTGACCATCTCGGTAGCAATAGAGATAATGTTGGTACGGAGGATTTCTCGAGCAGAATATCCTGTATTGTACTTCAAATCATTCAATAACATATAATACTGCTAGCCTAATACTATGACTGTAATTCGATAATTAAAGGACGAGTCATTTTGACCAACACTGTGTGCTGATAAGGATAGTGTCATACAGTACCTTGAGCTGCGATATACACCCTTGGGACATCTGGGTAACCCTACAACATATGTTAATAAATGATTTAGATTTAAAAATATATCATTAACTATTTCAAACAAGCAAACTACGTTAATGCGATAGCACAGAAGTGATAAAAGTCGAGATTTACCTCAATATATGACGCATTGATGTAGTCCGAATACTTTACCCCGGGAATCTCTTTAAGAACCACCCTTGTATGATCATCTACAAAGTATCATCATATTCGTTTGGTTCGCGATCGGGTGCTACATGAGCATGTACACATATACATGTGAAATATGTGAAGATCAGTGTCGTATTTAAATACAATATTCAGATATGTGCCTTGACCCAAAAGGGAATAATTGTTTTAAATATTCTGTCATTTATCCGCTTATTTGAAGATGAAACACTATGTTAATATTCTAAATCGAATGGAGTTTCCATGATATTTTCTATGAAATAGGCTACATTTTTATTGTGGCACTTACATGGAATTATATTCCTGAACCTGTTGAATTGTTTGGTTGGAACACCCTTCCCTGCAGTTTGTGTAGCGCAGGGAAGGTCAGAGAATGTCTGCAAATAAATGAAAAATATGTGATTGTAGGAATGTGTACTTGTACGAGTATTATGATAACCCAATACAACTATTAAACCAATGCTCTGATGTTCTACGACGGAAGGAATTGATAGAGATGGGTTGACTACCTCACCACACATACCACATGTGTGTCCTGTGTTTGTCCACATTTTATGATGAATAAAATGAATAGATTATATTCGATGTAAATTCAAAAACTGAATTAGACAAAATACCTGGACTAAATATCTATGGAAAATGTGACTTTGAGTAAGGTAATTTTGATCTAAATTGTGTCGTTTGTTTGATAGGATTCAATTTTGCAAATATAGGCCTAAATGTAAACATATGACTAAAACTTCAAGACATAACATGTTATAGATATCAAAAGTTGTACTTTGAATATTCGTTCCAGTTCTGCATTTCCATTTGCTTTAACTTTTGCAACATAGGGTAGCAGATTATCAATCGGGATGTTGCGCTGTATATTATCAATGCCAGTGTTCCCATACAGGTGATCAACATCTGCATCGTCTTGTTCTATGTGGACAGCAGGTTCGTTTGGTGTAAACTCGCTGTCTCCATGTACATCAGATGATATATTAAAAGGTAACGTTGATGAGGCGCTTGCTTTTGGCTTTTTTGGTTGCGTATACTTCCTTCTGAAAATTGAGAATATGTTTTATCATGAGTTCTCTTTGAGCATCAATTAGTAAATAATGTTTTGTATAGTTCTGTTACTCTTCAACAAAACACATGAGGAAGTATATTCGTATATTACAAGGTGTGCGTTGAAGATGAATTCATACGATATTAAAGTACTTTTGCTCACCTAAGTAATACGAGGACCAGGATGAGAAGTAGCACAATTAGCAGTAGACCACCTATCACACCACCGACTATAGCACCCACTTGGCTACCATCATCTGCAGTTTTCAACATTTGATTTTACAGTTAGACTTTGATTTTTCTTTAAAATAGTCAGTTGTTTAAGTTTAATAAAGAATGATCTCGGGCATCATTACCTAATAAGTAAAATGTCGTTTGACAATTTGCAAGTTTGTCGTTACATAACATTACATTATCAAACAATAGATTAAGTGATCTTCCAGTACCTGATGGTGGAGGTTTAGTAATATGAAATGTAACAGTTTCGCTCCAAGGCCCAGCCACAATCGTCCATGCTCGAACCTTTAAACCCACAAGCAACGGTAATTAATTTACAGTTGTATATTTTTGAAAACAGGTAAATGCTATTCGATTGAAAATAAATGCCAACGGAGACGGACACAATAGTCAAAAGATAGGGAAAGTCATTATTATTTACCCACGATGGCTAAAAAATGACTCAAGCCATTAAGATTTACAGTTACCTGAGATTTTACTGCTATACATTTACTAACTATTGTGAGTAAAGATAGGTTGACACCTAAAGTTGGCTTTTCTTGCTGGGTTTCTTTACCGTTTTTGGTCCTCCTCCTTTGGCACTGTCTTGTGCTTTGATATTTATATCTAGGGATATAACAAATTACAGTACACTTAAATTCGAAAGCGACTCACTGTAATGTTATACATAACATCATGCTCCAGGTTTGTGAAAGTTATCGTTGGCGATGTCACATTACATTCTTTAGAGCGGTTTTGAGTATGTGTCAAAACTGCTTCATATTTAGAAATGGTGCTAAACGAAGGGTGTTGAGTGGGTGGCTTCCAAACCACACTGACATTCGTCGATTCTATGCTGGACACCTTAACCTCCTTTGGATCCGAAGGCCCTGTAAATTAAGTCAGAACTAAATGTAACATGATGTAGATATCTTTATGAGATTTAATTCCAGCATCGACCTAATAGAGATACACATCTGCAATCAAATCAAGGAAGTTTAACGAGCCTTTCTGGATAAACGAAATCTAAAATGATAACTCACTGCCTTCTGGTGTTACGGATGTCGTCGCTATAGGTGGACCTTCAACTTGAGCATTATTACACGCTTTAACCTGAATGGTGTTATTGTTGTTTGCCGGAACACTCTTTAGGGAATAAGATGTTCCTACATGTATAGTTTGTAGACCATCATTTAAGAAGACTGTATATCCTTTCAGTTCATCACAATTCCATGATTTGTTACCACCAATAATTTCCTTTGAAATACACACACATGTTTTTATGAACAGCTATGCTTTGGTTCTCAATTGGAGGGGGAAGGAGGATGTTAAAAGTTATTTCTTCGATAGATCGTGGTTTTGGGATAGGTATCGTATATTTTTCTTATGACAGTTTTACACTTAGAGTTTGCTTTTCTTGCTAGGTTTCTTTACAGTTTTTTGGTTCTTTCCCTTTGCCATCTGTGCTTAGAAATAGATGTCCATAATGTTTTTTTGGAAAATATTTCATTATTCCACACATTTATTATATTAACTCGTATACATATAGACTGGGTCGAAAAGGGGCGCTCGCGCAAAAGGACAAACTTTTTTTTCAATTTTGATCGGGATATGACAATGATTAGTGGTATATCAATATATTTTGCGAATAAAATTATCCATCTTCCAGTGTGTTACAAATGATCTATCAATGTGATCCTGAATTGCTAAGATGATGGCGAATATCACATCCTGAAACTCTTTTCAGCTGTTGAAGTGATCATAATCACCCAGAGATACCAGTAGATGATCATTTCGAAAACCCTTGAATGAGAGAGTATGAACACTGTATTGATAAACCTCATATACTCGTATATGCAGAAGAATTCCTTATCTCATCATATATTCTAGCAAACATGAATTATAAATATATACATGTACTGGATATAACGGAAATACTTGGCAAACTTACCCCCCATCTTATCTTTACTTCAAAATGTGTTGGGAATCCAGAATCGTCGCGTCTAACTATAGTACTGTTGAGACTAGAAGGTGGTTGATGTGGACCTATTAAAAGGAGTTGTCTATAATTTCAGAGTGGGCCTCTCCATCATTAATTTAAAGTTATATCTAGCACGTTCAAACCTTGCTCAATGTTTTTTCATTCTTCGAAGTTTGCTTGGTCTATTGCCAATGGTCACGATCTATGAGTCCTTTTTACAAAACGTGCTCCAAATACCGAAACATGTCAAATACACTCGATCGAAAGCGCTAACTTTTATCTTTTGGATTATTTCAAATATATGTCTACACTTACAACACCAGAGAGTTGCAGCAAGAGATCATAAGGAAGATGAAAGTCATTGCACAAGTCATTGCACATATCTGCGAACGTGTAATCAGAACGACTTCACCCGATTTGTTTATGTTTACCTCCAAATGAAGCTTTAAATGTGCATTCAGAGAACAATAGTAAAAAATCCCCATTACTCTAAACCAATACTACTATTATCATTGTTTTATAAAAAAGGATATATTCTTCCCCTTCATCACACACACATTGGTAAGTCACAAACATTCACACGGTATTGATGAAAGATTTGACTGTACTGTCATGATGATATCCATGGTTGCTAAAAAATATGGTTAATTACTTACGACCGCAAGTCTTCTGTACAAGAGGTGGTCCAATCCTCCCCTCACAACCAACGTCATTGGGAGTCACACTAAAATTGTAATATGTATCTTTGGCCAGGTTCTTGATCGTCCAGAATGTATTGCTAGTTGTAGTTTTCTTTGTGTTTAAAGAATCATTCGATGGATGATAGAATAACGTGTAATGTTTAATTGGACCATCCCCGAGATCTTCGCCTGATATGTTCCATGCATCCCATCTTATTGTTAGTTCAGTTGTACTGTTCCTTTTATCATTTTTAGGACTTTTAGTCATTTTTGGTTTTTCTGTTCAACATAAACAATATGAGTATAACTGCGAATACATAACAAAGGTCCATGTGCAGTATGGCAAGTGATTTTAGACAGTTATATGTTGAACCATGAATACTTTCTGGGCATAAATATAGTGTTTTTTATTAAAACTATATGTTTCCTTTCAAGTAAAGTACCCATGGTGGTGATAACAATATCAATCGAACAATTCGCAAAGTATGGATAAGGACTCGATGTCAACATTTTTCAAACTTTTGAACCTATTTACTCAAAAGAGGAACTTCTTTTTCTGGTTTTTATTGCATGAAATGCAGTTTTCCCTATGGGAAAATAACATGGGGTGACAAGATCCTCATTTCCTCATTTAGAAAATGAGCCTAACATTTTAAAAAAGTGCAAAGGTGGGGTCCTAATCCATAATTTGTCAGAGAGTTAGAGTAAGTTATCATGGGTAAAAGAAAAAGAAAACATGGCCAGAAAGTACCCATGGTGAAAGATATGACCGTCTAAATCACTTGCCATACTGCACATGGACCGAGCTGCATGGACCTTGAAGAATTACAAAGAACATATGGAAACTCAGCATTTGTAAGGATGGTAAAGGATTTAAGCCTTTGATTCAGTGCAATGTGGAATGTCTATTCATTGAAGGTGTTGCGCAGCATCGAGTGTTAATTCTAGGAAACAACGCCTGAAAGGAATGGTCATTCCATAATGCATTGAGTAATGGGCTTAAATTCTTTTCGCACATTGCAAAATATGTTCTACCATGTCACTTAAAAGATACGAAATAACTGTAAGAAAAAATAGTAGGTTAATCCGGTAGCTGACGGTCTAAAGTTGCATTCGCAAAAACAACCTTAGACATATAAAAACACGTTGTGTAGGATTTGATGTGAACAAGTGAACAGTGAAAATGACTTTTACTTCTTAAACACATTGGTAGTGTGCAGTAGTCAGGCGTACATTCGCCACAATGTCCATTTGTTTTGAAGCAGGTACCCCGACATCCTTTACTACAATTATTGTCACATTTTCCTCCAAACCAACCATCTGCACATTCTGAAAAAAGATATTGAACAAATCATGACAAAAACGTATTTTTTGCTCTTTATAAAAAATAAACGTTAACAAGAATCATTTCCAAATAATTTCTTACAATGACTGGCTTTCGTACGGCCGTTTAAAATGTTTTACTTTTAAACTAATCCAGGCTAACGCATATCAAGTCGAAAGGACAACCTAAATAACATACCATACACTTCTACTTCATTCAATGATATTATTTGTGATTTATTTGCAACTGATGGCCGAATCGAGAGGTATCTTCCAACAGTAGTATTGTCTTTACATGTGAATGTAGTGTTTATGCTGGCAAAAGACTCATTTCTAGAATAGCAAACTGTCCAATTCGTTGGTTTTTCCGATGTAGAGTTACTAACAAGTACAATTATGCCAGCCGTCAGCGCATTTGGTTCTTAAAAACAAATGAAGCCCTATTATGTATGAAGTTCTAGTATGATACCATTTTTAGACATAATGTTGTTGAGTGTCAAGTTGTACAATTATTGATATTTTTAGCTATTTCTAGAAATAGAGGACTATTAAAAACTATTTAATAACAGTTCTATTGTTTGAGCATGGTCTACTCTAAAGTATATTTTGAGCGCACATTTTTAATCCATTTATTCCTAATCGAGAGCCTTGAATTGAAAGATGTGTGTTTTGCTGGAAGAAATGTTTATCCGAGTTGATGAATTATTAGAGAACAACAAAATATCAAAGAGAACCCAGTAAACCATACATCGATTTGTGTCAACTATAAAGGAAGTATCTAAATCCAAAACACTATCTAATAACTATGGTAGAATTCGCAAATTCAACTGACGGATGACTGTATCATTCATAAACGAGTTGGCCAAAACAAGTCTGTTAAACCGTCAGCCGACAGTTAAATCTGCGAATACACATACAACATGTAGCATGGTTTTTCTTGTATTTAATCCAAACTTTACATATCACACGAGTGACCAAAATTCTATACCGAACCAGATAACATACCCCATGCTAACTAAATAGGAAGTAAGCGCTTACTGTCTGATTTGAAGTAAATATTATTATTATCGTTGTTTGAGTTGGGAGAACAAGTTTCTATGGTTTTCTTTTTCGTGTAGCAACCATTGTCTCGTATACTGAATTGGAATGATTTACAGTCAGTGTTTGTTGAACACGCAGCCTCGCATACGCTAAAATCATTCACTACGCCTGGCTCTCCAACTTTAATATCACCACCAGGACAATCTATACCTTTTTGTGAGGTATATAATATTTCTGAAAGACACAAAAATAAAATGAAATAGAATGAATAACATAAATTGAGCATAACATAAAAATACCAAGCGTAGTTGGAGTTTCATTTCTTTGTATGTCCACATAACGTTGGGCCATGTTGGCAGCCTAGGCGTGTCTGATGCTGTATGTCTGTCTGTCCGTCCGTCCATCCATACGTCTCACAGTTTTCTCAAAAACCACTACAGATATCACCAACAACCAATCTTCAGGAACAACCTTTGAGTACATACAGATAGGCTACAGATGGTAGAAAAAATTAGACTCTATGCCTACTTCCTGAGGGCAGTTTTGAACTCAGAAAACTTTAAGAAAAACATCTTATTAGGTTTTGGACATATTAACTCAGTAATGGCAACCATTTTGTATGTCTCAAGAAAAGCCAGTGAGCAATGATACTTTTTATCCCATACTTAGTAGTGTTATAGGTAAATAACATGCGAGAATATAATCGATATCTGATGTGAGCGGGTGATATATATCACCAACTCATCAGCAATCCCTGGGAATTAGTCTTTCGGTGCTTTTTTGAATTCCCGGGATATACTTTGGCTCTATTTGATAAATATTAATTTCATACACTTTAAAATGTTAGCAGCTGCAGTTGAGTTAAAAAAATCAAAAGTCGTTGAGGACTTTAAATAAAATATTCCTGTTTAGATTGTGGGTTCCCTAACATTCAATGCATATTTAATTCTCATAATCTACTAAGTATTGGATAAATCAGTTATTTAATGCTCGATTTTTGATACAGGGTATATATCTTGGCAAATACAATATATATATATATATATATATATCGGTAAATACAATATATCATTGATATATCAACGATATATTGTATTTCTCTCAGATATACCCTCTATCAAAAACCTCCCATTATATAACCTCTATGTATCATATTATCAGATGTCACTGTTAACAGTATACGAGTACGTATGCGATAATTTTAATGTAAAATATCTGATTTTAACCGCTTGCCATTTTGGTATTTTCCGTCGTAAAATCTTGTCTATAAAGACTTGTTGATTTTAAATTCAGGGATGATGCTTTGAATATAAATCTCGAACTGATTAGTTTTGGGGTATTCTGGGTAAAGGTTAAGGAGGTCATTTTGGACTTACCATCCTCAATCTTGTCTGGGAAGTCATGTCTACAAGTTTTCAGGCGTACTATTTGACGAATCGATTTCTAATTCTTTTTATGAAAATCTCGAACTGATTAGGTTTTGGCCATTCTTGGTTAATGTAAAGGAGGCCATTTTGGATTTTTTGTCCTAAAATCTCATCTATATGGTCTTGTCTTGCCTTTTAAGACGAAGTGTTTGAAGGATCCATTTTTACGGATGATTCCTATATGAAAATCCCGAGTTAAATAGTTTTTTAGCACTCTGGGTTAATGATAAGGTGGCCATTTTGGATTTGCCGTCCTAAAATCTTCTCTGCATAGCCTTATCTATATGTTTTCTGGCGAACCAGTTGACGGATCGATTTCAAATTTTCAGGGACGATTCTTTGTATAAACATCTCGAACTGATCACTTTTGTGAATCCTGGGTAAACCTTAAGGTCGCCACTATGGATTTTTGGCCTTAATTTTTGTCTGTAAAGTCTTGGCTATGCGTTTCCAGGCGAACCGTTTGACCGATCAATTTCAAGTTTTCAAGGATGATTCTTTGAACGAAAATCTCCGATTAGCTTTTGTTTATTCTGGGTGAATCCCAAGTAGTATATTTTAAACAATTCCATTAGGGGAAATCTTTTCTTGAAATCGCCTTGAAATGATATATAAAAAAAAGGTGGCGCTATATTGTATTGTATTGTATATCTTTATTGCCCAGTGGCGGATCCAGGAACCAACAAGGGGGGGGGCCCAAATTTGAGAATATAGAAAAAACCTCCGCGCTTGCGCGGAAAAAAATTTTGGGCCCCTAAAACCGAAAAAGTGGGCCCAAATTTTGAAAATTTGAGGCCCATTTTCTTCCAAATTTGACCTAAATTAAAAAAATAAGGCCTTAGAAGGCCCAATAATGACCAAAAGGCCCACTTTTTGGGGCCTTAAGGCCTTTTATGGCCTAACATTTTTTTGGGCCCAACTTCTTTTTTTTTTGGGCCAACCTTAGGGGGGGGGCCCGGGCCCCATGGATCCGCCATAGTTGCCCATAATAAAATGGATATACAATTTATATGTACAGTGATGTAAAATAAAAGTACAAAATTATGATAAAATGATATACATGTTAGACGTATAAAAACTATTCAATGAGCAAAATGCTCGTACGGTTGAGTCAGACACTGTAAGTGTCTCAAACACAGTCACTGTCATCCTTGCTGCAAGGGTATTTTACAAGTATAGGCTGAATTTAGGCATAAATGAAGTCCTTTGAAGAAGGATGAGTCACTGTTAGACCGTGCTTTATATTGTTTGAAAATAATTTGTGCTATCTCTTTTAAGAGAACAATTGCATTTGGATTTGGCACAACATTTATACCAAGAATTGTATTGAACGAAAACTCGAAATTGTGCTTATTAAAACATTCCAAAAGTTCTTGCCTGTATATGGAGTATTGTGCGGCAGAGCAATGCATTAAGAAATGTTCAACCGTCTCTAACTGGAATGAGTTACACAGTTTACATCGTTTACTGTGCAGCAGAGCAA